TACCTATTATATCTATTTTTCTGCTTTAGTTAAACAAAAAACCAAGCAAAATGTATTTTTTTAGTTAAAACTTGCGTTTGTTAGGTATGAATAACTTTTCAGAGGAAAAACCGCTGAGATATATTGCGGGCGCATGTCCTGAATTTCTGGCCATGATGAGTTGAGAATAGGTATTTGCTTCTCAGTGAAATAAATATATAAACTGGAACGCTTTCTCTAACCGAAAATTTGATGGCCAGTCCCAGTCTTTTTACGCATGCTAACCATCATAAGAAGAAAATCCCGCCTTAATCGCAACATAAACAATTGTAAACAGGCCTTACATGTAAGAGAAACAAATAGGAACGGACATATTTTGGTCAACATATTACGATGTCATCTGTATGTGTCTTACTAAACAGATAAATAAATTATCTTTACTGTAGGGTGATTATTACTCCACAGACTGGAGTTCTCCTTCAAAAACGAGTGAAGACACAGGTATGTATGTGCCATGTCTTCCAGTCTGCTTTCTCAAAATGTATCTTAATATCAAAAATATATTTTCACTCGCTAGTCTGGTGGAGATAAACAAAATGCGTTTGGATCTAGCTTGCGCCGTAGACCTCCAGCAGAAACACGGTTTCGCCGTAGGCTATCATGCATATTGTTAAACCACAGATCAACGAGCGAAAACCACTTGCAAAGTGTTAATGCATAGCAATCTTCTCAATCATTTCAAGTTTCAGGTCAAGGTTCAGGCACGGCCGAAAATGATGATGGTTATGAAAAATATCTTATTGGAATTATAGTATTAGCAATTCTACTGGTCAGTTCATTCGTTGTTACTGCTTATTTTATCTATCAAAATCGTCGACTCAAATTATCAAACACTAAAGCAAACGTGGTAACCACTAATGATGAAATTCATTCAAGACACATTTATGATATTCCTTTCAACAATTGTGAACAAGTAGATGATGAACAGTCGACGTATACAGCTCTCAAAAGACCTGGTCCTGAGGAAGTAAATGATGATCATTTATATGGTCATCTAATTAATTAAGTACTGCAAAATGGATACGCAAATCAGGGAGAAACTTGGATTTAATCATGTCTTATTAATCCATAGTTAAAGGACATTGTTAGTAAACATTTATTTTGACTCATTTGAAAGAACTTTTAAAAAATTAATAAATACATTTTACGGGTTTTTCATAGCTTAATTCCTTAAAAATATTGATTGAAAACACTCGGCTGTCCGCCATCTTGGATTATTCAGGATTTGAGTGTTGGTGAGGTCACGCAGACTTTAACTTGACAGCCAGTCTGCCAGTGATTAATATGAACTATGCAAACACTAGAACTTGGTTGCTATTTTAAATTTCGAATTGAAAAGGCTAACCCATCTTTGACGTCATCAAAACCATAGTTAATAATGAGGTTAAGAATTAATCCAAGATGGCGGACAGCTAATTGTTGTAAGTCAAAATATTCCAATACTTAAGTTGGATATAAAAAATATATTAAAACATGAGCAGCAGTGTTTTATCAGATATAAAGATAAGAGGCGAAGCCGAGTTTAGTATGTTTTAAATTCCTTCAAAAACGATCTGTCGATCTAGTAAGTTCGTTAACGAAGTAATTTTCAAAAAATACGTTGTGCATGTCGAGAAAATCAAAGTTAGCTAAAGTTTATGTAAATCAAGGAAAATCTCTATCACATATAAAGATACGACACGCTTATGATTTTCCTTTGTGTTTTCCTCATGAATTATTAAATTTTTTTGAAATTTTTTGAAGAGTTTTTGAAATGAAGAGCTTTTGAAACATAATTTTAAACAATTTCAAATCAGACAAATAAATTTCTGTTTCCAGTGTGCTTTAATTATGATATGGTATGGCATGGAAACACTGTAAATTTCCCAATGTGTCTCAATGAACTAGAATCGTATGTTGAGACGACTTCAACTTGCACAAATCGTGTGAAATTTTACTTGTTAATATTTAAATAGTACGGTTGAGGGACTCGAGCAGATGTCGCCATTGGTTGAGTAATTCGACCGAATGATTGTTTTATTATGGCAAAAATTAAACAAAAGTCTTACCGGGGACAAGTTTATAAAAACAAAGAAAAAGATTATTATTATTATTATTATTATTATTATTATTATTATTATTATTATTATTATTATTATAATAATAATAATAATAATAATAATAATATATATATATAATAATATATATATATATATATATATATATATTTGTATATATATTTATATATATATATATATATATATTTTATATATATATATATATATATATATATATATATATATATATATATATATATATTT